CTCTTCCGAGGTGATTCATATTTCTTCTCGTTAGAGAAGGGAACAGTTGAATCGATGCTTTGTGGAACAGTCTCCAGCTTTTCCGTAATTTTGCTCTTCACGTTGCTATAAGCATTGTTGCCCATTTTCTCAGATAAGGCATTAGAGAACTTTTTCGTATTCAATGAGCCGTATCTCTGCATGGCTCTTCTCAACTGGGATCTCGCTAGTTCCACCTGATACAAGCAAAGCACTTGGGAGGCTACTCCAGACACTCTATACACACTCACACAGACACATACAGAGAGAAGGAGATGTGTATATGCAAGCCTAGATGAACTAACCTGTTCCCGGACTTCCTGGGAGATATCATATTGATTGAAGGGTAGATTGCCCAATGCCTTCTCTAGCTTCCAAGTCACACATTGGAACTGGAAGGAGACTCTCTTGGCAGCCCCGTCCTTCAATCAAAGACACGTCAAATTTCAGAGACAGAGACATATACACGCATGACTCCAGGGTTTCACCAACAGTGGTTTCCAATCTGAAAGACTATTTAGGGAGCCGAGTAAGGTTATACTTCTACCCTTATCTTTCTGAGAACGCTACATACGAACAAAATGAGCAACAAGGGGAAATAGATCCCACAAATCTCAGTTACGACTACCATCACACTTGATGTATAAGCAGTCTTCGACATTGCCAAACCAGACAATCAGAGAATGCTTACAGGGTGCTCGCGAGCTAGGAAGGCGGCGGCAGAGGAGAGAAGACGCTTCGCGGCCTGGAGTCCCACCACGAGATCAGACCACCATTCAGATTCCGAAGACGAAGCCGCCGAAGAATCCCTAATGTCCTCCACCAAGTGACTCAGGAGAGAGACTCGACGCGCGAGATCCGCGCAGTCCTTCTTGAACAATCCGGCATTCGCCGGAATCCCAACGATCTCACTGATGAGGTCGAGCAAAGCGGCTGGAGAGACGCCTCCTCCGGCCATTTCGATGCGCAGGCGGCAGCGTTTCAGCAATCGACTCGGCAAGTGGGAACCCGCTCGCTGCAGCTCGTTTCCCTTTTCTTATTGGTCCAATAAGGAAGCCATGTGTCGAATTCTGACGTGCTTTAATAGAGATGCCACCGTTTTCTTCCAAAGACTCCGTCTGTCCCTCTGGTTCCTTTTTTTTTATTTGTTTTAGTGGGAAAAAGACGTGTAAGATACAGAAAGCAACATAATAAAGTTGAATGAGTGGATAAGTAAAATATACATAAATAAATGAATAAATATAGCGAGATTCGCGGGGAGGGGAGAGGAAAACAACGGGATACAGTTGTCCTTGGAATATTATGATTTGTATTGTAACCAACTCATAATGGAAACAAATTTCCTTTGGGGCCTTCCCTAAAATTTTGACGTGGCAATGGTCGTCGCGTGCTTGCTTGGTTGTAAAAGTCAGATGGGGTTTGTTTTGCCTATTGAATGATATTGTAATGCAGCAATTGAAAAAGTAAAAGTAAAAAGTCGTTGTTAATCCCTATGGCCATGGATTGTTTGAGATTTTTCGTATAATAATAATAGATAACACCCATTATCTTTTAACTATATTGGCAATCCAATTGCAGCTCCTGTTACACCTAGAGATGTCAAAATGGGTCGGATTATACGGGTCGACTCAACCCGACCCACTTATAAACCCAAATAGGTTAGCCCATTTGGTTAATTTTTTAAAATGGGTTACATGGGTTTTGACCCATTAAACCCATGGGTTAAATGGTTAACCCATTAAACCCATTATATATTTAGTTAAAATTAAACTCATTTTGTAACTAATTAAAATTGTTATATTTAGATATATAAAAATTAATATATATATATAGATATTTATATATATACATATACATATATATGTATATAAATTAAATCGAAATATTTGGTGCCGAAAAATTCGATACTACTCCGAATCAAATCATACCGAAAAATTCGGTGTCGTTTTCGCATCAAATCATACCGAAAAATTCGAATCGTATAAAAAAACTCGATACCGTTCCGAATTGAACCGAAAAAATTGGTTTTGTTTCTGAATCGAATTGTATCCAAAACTCGGTGATATTTCCGAATCGAATCATGTCGAAAAATTCGAATCGTATAAAAAACTCGGTATTATTCCGAATCGAATCGTACCGAAAAACTCGGTGTCGTTTTCGCATCAAATCGTGCCGAAAAATTCGAATCGTATAAAAAATTCGATACCGTTCTGAATCGAATCGTATCGAAAAACTCGGTGTCGTTTTCGCATCGAATCGTGCTGAAAAATTTGAATCGTATAAAAAACTCGGTACTATTCCGAATCGAATCGTACCGAAAAACTCGGTGTCGTTTTTGTATCGAATCGTGCCGAAAAATTCGAATCGTATAAAAAACTCGGTACCGTTCTGAATCGAATCGTACCGAAAAACTCGGTGTCGTTTTCGTATCGAATCGTGCCGAAAAATTCGAATCGTGTAAAAAACTCGGTACCGTTCCGAATCGAATCGTACCGAAAAACTCGGTATCGTTCCGAATCGAATCTATCGAAAAATTCGAATCATACCGGAAAACTCGACACCATTTCTGAATCGAATCGTATTGAAAAATCGGTGTCGTTCTCGAAACGAACCGTTCAAAAAATCTAAACGACAATATTTTTAAAACATCGAATCGAATTTAAAAAATAATAAAAGTATGATTTTTTTAAAGAAATGTATAATTTTTTTTATAAACTATCGAATTTTGTATATATTTTTATTGAATCGATAAACCAAATCGAATATTAAAATGATAATTTCTAGGTTATATGAGTATACATATTAATAGTTATACATATGTATAAGTAATTTGTGAATATATAAATGGGTTTATATGGTTTATACGGGTTTAACGGGTTGACCCAACCCAACCCACTATTATTAACGGGTCGACCCAACCCAACCAGTTTATCTTTCAAATCCAAATGGGTTGGGCCCAAATGGGTTGGGCCAACCCAATTGACATCACTAGTTACACCACCATCTTTGAAAAGCGAGATCCAATTTATTTTTTAAAGAGCATACAAGTAATAGAATGGCCATTATTGTTGCTTTTTTAGAAATGCTTCATTTATGGTTTTATATTTCCAAGACGCAATTATTACCCTCTTGAGATTTTCTTTAATTTGCAAGATCCAAGGTGAACTCGGCTCAACTATTTGACACCCCACCCACTGCACCCGAACCGTACCGATCCAAACAACAGAAAAAGGTGGGTAAATCACCCTCGACACAATCCAATAAAAGCGCAAGTCGAAAGGAGATCGGAACAGAATAACAATGTGAAACCGAAAGCTAGTTTAGTTGTATCCTATTCGGACAATCTATAAACTGACGAGAAGGAACCAACAGTTGCAAACCCCTTAATTAGTCAGTGTGTTTTGATTCTGGCCTTTCCAACGCGATACACTACGCTCCCATACGCATCGTCTTGTTGGCTTCCTTGCCAATGCCGAAATCATGTCCGATGGCATGATATATATGCAAGATGGTTTCCAAAGCCATTTGATCTTCCAAATGTTTATTATATCCATTGCCATCCAGAGACGTCTCGCCTTTAGCATCCCCTGCATCAAAAGCCATTTGTACGTGCATGTGAACATAAGGTACGGCGCTACACGCCCACTCTTTCAACGTCTGCTGTACAACTCTACTGCTGTAGGCATCACCGTCACCTGGGAACGTATATAAGCCGAGGTTGCTGAGATCCAAAACTCACCGACATCACCACTAGATCTTCCAAAATTGTTTTAAATATATATATATATATATATATATAAAACAATCCAAATTCTTATGTACTGTAGTATGTCGGGATTTTCTAATGAGGTGAATACGTCTATTAGGTTATTTTCTTAACTTCAAACTTAACAGATTTTTTTTAACTTAGAAAAGAGTTTTTTTAAGAGTACATCAGATTTTCTCACATGGTGAATTTGTCTGAAAGGACTCTCGAGAAATTTTTTCCATGTAAGAAAGTTTTTTTTTTGTGTGGAAATGAAACATTCAACTCTTTAGAAAAATTCTACAAAACCAAATTGATTGTACATTGTAGTTCAATTTTTGTACATGTAGTATTTGGTTGTTGAGTGTTTGTTTCAAATTCAACTACTTAGAAAAAATCTAGGAATGAAATTTGAAAAGATATAAGAACGAAAAGATTGGAGTTGAGATTATAAGATATTGATATAGAATCAAGTAAAGAAGATTTGGTGCAATCAAGGATCGAAGCATGTAGATTTGGCGTGAGGCTTGGAAGCTATAAGGAGAAGTAGAAGATGCACAATGGGTTTTCAACCCAAGAGACCTTATTTTTCTAAGAGAGAGTATTATGAGAGAGCATTTGCCCTAAAGATAAGTGTGAATTGAAGGAGAGATATATTGAGAAAATCTCCATATATCTCTGATTAGTGTTTCTATTGTGAGGTTTTTCGTTCAGTAAAATTTATTGTGTCAATGAGTTGAAATAAAAAGAAATTTTTTTATGGGGGTTGAGTGTAACTCTAACCGCAAATGAGTTATACTTGCGTTTTTTCTCGGTGAATAGAATTGATTAGTTTTTTTTTTTATTTATTCTTTGAGAGTTTCATAGATTATTGTTGAGACTCGTTTTTAAAATTTATTATATCTCAGAAAGTATATTATAAAATGATATTCGGATTACTATATTTCTACGAGTTTCAAACTCATTTTGGTTTGTCTTTTTCTAACATGTGTCTCCGTAAGTTACTTTTGAAGTTTCAAAATGCATAGTTTTATAAGCCCATTCCAATTTACGCACGTGACGCTGCCAATGAAGATGATGAACGGAGTTCGAAGTTGTAGGAGAAACGCGTCCATGAATGTTCTCACAATACGTTACTTTGCTGGCTTTTCTCATCTTGAAAACCTGCTTATATACTTCGGTTTTTTTTTTAATCTAATCACTATTCATCTCACATGATGTTGAAATAGAAAAATACATATAATTGTGATTAAAAGTGAATATTGATTTTGGATACGATTGAAAACAATTATAGGCACAATACTAATTAAAAAATCAAATATTAATTGTGTCAAATATCTTGTATTTTATTTGTTTTCATTCTACCTATATTTTTTTTATTTATTTTCTTTTGGTATTTTTTCTATGAATATGTGAGTTTATTTCCAACGTAATACAATAAAAAATATATATAATAATCAAATTAATTTTATTCTTTTTTTATTTGTCTTATTTTGCCGTCACATTTTATTTTTCAGGGTAGATAGTATAATTAGTACGAAAAAGATTTAGAAAAATGATATGAAAAAATGGAGAACAGTAAGAACAAGCTGAACGTGAAAACAGATTTATTGTAGGTAAATAATAACCCCATTGTTGGAGGATCAAAAGTTTTACATTGGAACTATCTCTTAGATTGGAAAAAGCGGTTCAATAAAAGTATAATACTTAACATATTGATAGATTATGCACTTAATGATTCTCATTAATAATAACAAGCGTATTTATACAAGTGTATTAGGGTTAGTTATAATAATCAATATTTACATATCTTATAACTCTATACGCCCCCTCAAGATGGAACACCGGAGGTGAGGCCAATCTTGACAAAGAGATCGTGAAAGACAAGACTTGGTAAAGGTTTGGTGAGAGCGTCCGCAAGTTGATCCGCAGAGGAGACATGAGAGACACGGAGATCGCCGGATTCAACAAGTCCGCGAACGAAGAAATAGTCAAGGGCAATATGCTTCATACGTGAGTGAAACACCGGATTTGAGCTAAGATAAGTGGCCCCGATGTTGTCACAATAGACAACCGGTGCCGACGAAGGAGGAGATCCAAGTTCAGACAGAAGAGACGACACCCACTTAACCTCGGCAGCCGTACTCGCAACAGATCGATATTCTGCCTCGGTGGAAGAACGAGAGACTCCCGATTGCTTCTTGGAAGACCATGAGATGGGATGACTACCCAGAAACACAACATACGCACCAGTAGATTTGAAGTCTGTGCGGTCTCCAGCCCAGTCAGCATCCGAGAACGCATGAAGTACCGGCGATGAATGAACACCAAAGAAAATACCGCATTCCTTCGTTCCAGCTAGATAACGAAGAACACGTTTGACCGCATGCCAGTGCTCATCCGTAGGTGTATGCATAAACTGAGACAACTTATTCACAGCGAATTGAATATCTGGTCTGGTGAGAGAGAGATATTGAAGGCTACCGACCAAACCTCGATACTCGGTGACGTTGTCAATGGGAGAGCCAGACAATGCTGAGAGCCGAGAGGTGGACACCATCAGAGAGGCGACCGGCTTGGCCTCGGACATATTAGCTCGGGCTAGAATGTCAGATATATACTTCCTCTGGGTGAGTAGTAGTCCTTTCGGTGTTCGTGAAGCTTCGATCCCAAGGAAGTAGGATAAGTCACCTAGATCTTTGATAGAGAAACGGGCAGCAATATCATCGATCACTCGAGTGACAAGAGAAGAAGAGCTCCCGGTCACAACAATATCATCAACGTAGACCAAGATGAAAACTCGAACATCCGATTGATGCAGAATAAAAAGGGAAGCATCCGCCAAAGAATTTTGAAACCCACGACCAAGAAGATAGGTACGAAGCTCCGAGTACCAAGCCCGCGGTGCTTGTTTGAGACCATAAATAGCCTTCCTGAGTTTACACACAAAGTCAGGACGTCGATGATCAACAAAACCCGGAGGTTGCGACATGTAGACTTCCTCGGATAATGTTCCCTGTAAAAATGCGTTGTTGACATCAAGTTGACGTAAAGGCCAGCCACTTGAGATCGCAAGACTTAGAACAACCCGAATAGTGGTCGGCTTAACAACCGGACTAAAGGTCTCATGAAAATCAACCCCCGGTCGCTGATGAAATCCCTTGGCAACAAGGCGCGCTTTGAACCTGTCCACAGTGCCATCGGGTTTCCGTTTCACTCTATAGACCCACTTGCATCCAACAACATTCTGAGCACTATCCGGAGATACCAAAACCCACGTCTCATTGCGACAAAGAGCTTCATATTCCTCTGTCATCGCAGCTCTCCAACGAGGATGCTTAAGCGCTTGAGTCACAGTTGCCGGTTCAACATCAGCATTCGAAGCAGAGACCATGAGAGCATATTTTGGATTGGACTTAACAATGTTGCTCTTTGATCTAGTCTGCATCGGATGAAGGTTTACCGGCATGGGTTGAACCGGCGAACCAGACGTGACAGCCAAGTCCGAGAGAGGCAACTCCGATGCTGTCAAGGCAGGAGTATCAGCCGAAGAATCCAGGCCAAGTACGGGTCCATCCATGTCAGAGGACCGAAGAGCACTAGCAGAGGAGATGTTCGCAGGCAGAGGAACCGACGGTGAAAGATCCGAGCTCAGGGGCTGACAAAGCGGAGGTGTCGTGAGTGGGCGCCGAGCATGACTCAAAGGGTGAACCGGATGATGAGAGAATGAAGAAGGTTCAACAACACCAGATGTCGGAGAAGGAAAATAGGCTGAAAAATCTGAGTAAGGAAAGATCGACTCGAAAAACTGTACATGACGGGACACAAAGAGGCGAGAGTGAAGTGGGTCAAGACAGAGGTAAGCGCTTTGAGTTGGTGAGTAACCGAGAAAAAGACACGGACGAGAACGAGGCTCGAGTTTGTGAGACGTATAAGGACGAAGCCAAGGAAAACAAAGACAACCAAACATACGTAACTTCGAGTAGTTCGGCGAGGTTAGGAAAAGACGCTCAAAGGGGGATGACATGGATAATGTAGGTGTCGGCATCCTATTGATAAGATAAGTGGCTGTAGCAAAGGCAAATGACCAAAATGACGTAGGAAGAGAGGCATGACTAAGGAGAGACAAACCGGTTTCAACTATATGTCTATGACGACGCTCGGAAATACCGTTGTGCTCGGGAGTGTGGGGAGGTGTGGTGTGATAAGAGATGCCGTGAGAGGCAAGAAAAGAACGAAGGGCCGTGTATTCACCACCATTATCCGAATAGAGAGTAATGATCTTGGCGTTGAACATGTGCTCTACCAAGGGTTTAAAAAGAATAAAGGTTTCAAGAAGTTGAGATTTTTTCTTTAAGGGGTAAAGCCATGAATATCTGGTAAAGTGATCAACAAAAAGAGCGTAATATTTATACCCATCAATCGAAAAGACAGGAGAAGTCCACACATCCGAAAAAATAATTTCAAGAGGACGATGAGAAACAATAGTCGAGGTGGAAAAAGATAATTTATGACTTTTATTCGTGCAACAAGAATGACAAAACAAAGATGAAGAATCCCGAGACAACGACAAGCCAAGCTTCGATAAAATAGACTTAAGAATAGGAAACGCAGGATGACCTAAACGAGAGTGCCACTCAGACAAAGTGGACTTGACACTAGGATAAACTTGAGGAGAAGAACTACTGGAGGAGCCCGACGACCACTCATAGACGCCCTCTTTACTTGGACCGGTGAGAACTGGCGCCCCCGTGCTGAGATCCTTCACCTGAAAATAAGACGGAAAAAATTCCACGGAAACATCATTAGTGCTGCATAACTGCTGGACAGAGACCAGGTTCTTGGTCATTGAGGGCACACAAAGCACATTATTAAAATGAAGAGAGCGACTCGGTAAGGGAAGAGAAAAGGAACCCGAATGTGTGATGGGAAGCCCAGAACCATCACCAACAACAACATCCTCACCACCTTGATACGGAGAATGAAGAGACAGATTATGAAGATCAGTCGTGATATGATGCGATGCTCCACTGTCCAACAACCACGGAGAGGAGTCATAGGACGGGTGAGCTACATGATGAGCTCTCGGTTGCCACGGTCGAGGAGATGAAGACCACGGTGGAGGCTGACTCCATGGCTGAGGTGATGAATGATCGGGTTGAGAAGACAAAGACGATGGTCGATATTGCGAGCAACGCTTCGCAGAGTGCCCATGAACACCACAAATCTGACAACGACCTTGGTATCCTCTCGGTTGAGACGGGGAGAAGGAACCACGAGGCCATGGCGAACCACCGGATGATCGATGATGACGGCGCGCACGCACGGCCGTGTTGTGCACGGTGACCGGTAAGGGCAGCAAGGATGGAGCGGGCGCAGCCATGAGAAGCTTCGCCTCGTGATTGAGGAGCTTTTCATGAAGTTCCTCAATAGGTATAGCCGTGTCACGTGCAAAAATAGCATCAACCACATGTTTGTATTCTTCGGGTAAACCCGCAAGAATAGCCTCGAGCACATCCTCATGATCCATCGTCTTGCCGAGAAGGGCCAACTCATCGGTTTTGGCTACAATGAACCGTATGTATTCATCGATGGATTGAGTACCTTTGGTGGCTCGTTTGATTTGATCCCGAAGTTGGAGAAGATGTCCGCGGGAAGCTTTGCCATAGATGTTAGCCAAAGTGTGCCAAGCCTCTTGAGTTGTGGTGGCTCGGGCAACCACCGGCTGAAGAGAAATAGTGAGAGTGCCCAGTAAGGCACTGAAAAGTAGACGGTCCTGCTGTTTCCAAGGGCCGAATTCAGGATTTGCTTGCGAGACACCATCGACCTCCATTGTCGCGGTTGGAGCTTTGATGTCAGCATCAATATAGCGAGAGAGATCGTATCCTTCAAGAAGAGCACGGATCTGAATACTCCAAGTCAAGTAATTCGTGGACGTCAATTTCGTGATGTTTGACATGTTCACGAAGAGAAGCTGAGAGGAGGAAGCACCGGTGGTGATCGGTACAGATTCTGCAACCTGGGCGAATGAGTTGTCAAGTGAAGAAGACATGGTGAGAAGGAGATGACTTGCAGTAGAAGAAACAAGGAGACCAATCTGGAGGTGCGACGCAGAGAAGTGCCGAAGGAAGGATTTCCAACTCGGAGAGGCAACCCAATGTTACCAGGCAGACCGAGACTGCGTGCGACGACTTCGGAAGAAAGACAGCGGTAGAGAGCGACGGCGGCAGTAACCCGTGAGAGAGAAAGAAATATTTTTAGGGTTTCCAGTGCTCTGATACCATGATAGATTATGCACTTAATGATTCTCATTAATAATAACAAGCGTATTTATACAAGTGTATTAGGGTTAGTTATAATAATCAATATTTACATATCTTATAACTCTATACATATAACAGTCATAAAAAAAAGAGTTTAGATCAGGAGAAAGAGATCTATTATATATGCATAATTAAGGAACGCATCCTAACTATGCGTGTGTTAAGCCCTTTATGGGAAAAGAGGAAACGTTTGAAGAGGAGTTAGGAGACGTTGATGATACGCTCAAGAAGGCTGGCTGTGGGTGGCATGGGATCGACAGGCACTATTCCATGATCGCTGGGACCAGTTGAGTGGGAAGCTGAAGATTCATCATCGGCCTTATAAGCTATATCTGCCATGGCGTTGTTATGCGGCTCACGTCCACAGAAGCAGTGGTTATGATGGTTCAGCCGGTGGTTGCTAGGGTCCATCCCCATATTCATCAACTTTCTTTTCAAGTGTGAGTTCCAATGGTTCCTTACTTGGTCGTCCGAGCGTCCCGGTAGCCTTCCCGCTATCAATGACCATCTATATAGTATTTTGATGCTTCCAAATTAAACTTGTCATAAACAAACAAGGGGCGATATAATTTATCTAAGCTATATCTTAATGGATAGGGGAAAAAACGCGTGAACAATGACAAACGCTGGAAAATAGCTGCAGTTGATCAATCCTGCCGGTGGCCAACACTAGCATAATATATACCCATAAGCTGTCAATCAGGGCCATATATACAATGTCCGAAAATACAAAAATAACCTATATATATATATATATATATATGCAACTGTGACATTGTTTAATTCCAATGCATACCGTTCTCTATATATAAGGATTAATAAAGGTGAAAAGTTAACCTATTGCCAAGAAGAGCATGAAGCTTGATGATGAGATCATCCTCGTCTCCTGAAAAGCCTCCTGTTTTAAGCTCCGGCCTTGCGTGGTTTATCCTTCTCGCCCTGCAGCTCTTACCACAACGTACTCCTCCTCCCAATTTGCAGAAGTTAGAGCAATTTGTAAAGCTATAATTAACAAAAGAAGATCAATGGGTGGAAAAGTTACCAAGAGGCAGGCGGCCTCTGCGATATCTAAAGGTGTGAATGAGCTTTCGGTTTACTTGCTCCGACATTATCAACGCTCCTCTCTTCATGTCTTCTTGGGTTGTGAGGGAGCGCATGGGGATGGGATTCGATATTATATATAGCCGTGGAGGGACGGTGGTTGACTTTGACCGGTGGATTCAAGACTCGTGCGATGGAAGCCATACCCTCCGAGAAATATTCTCCCAAGAAGAACAACATTAACAACCACTTTTGCTGCTATACACTCCGATAAATATTGCCATGTCTTTTTCATAGATCATGAAATCCATAAATGTTGGAAGAGCTTTAATGAATAATCGGTAATTAATAATTTAATAGAATATATACGATCTCAGTGCTGCATTTTATTTCACATACAATCTTTCAATGGCAGCAATCCAAATGTTGTAACCAAAACGACCAGAAAGATGACGCTGGTGTGAGAGTAAAAATACTTTGATCAAGCGTAACTAGGGGAGGAGGAGACGTTTCGGTTACTATGATATTTTACATTTGATGCATGATAAAAAAATATTCATGATTTCCAATTTACCCTTAATTAAATAACTAGGGGTGTATAGAATAATTCGGCGGCAGTAAAAAAATGGATCCAGTACGATGAAAAAGTAGTAAACAGAAGAGGAAAAAGACATTTTTGCCATGCATCGAATGTAAAATATTATATTAACCAAATGTATCCTTTTCGCCTCTCATCCGTCTAAAAAAATGATTACAAGTAAATCTATTTTGTAATATCAATTTTTGAATTGTATATATTTTAATTTTCTAATTTAATTACATATAATTTAATAAACAATTAAAATAAAAAAAATTGGTAAAATAAAACTGAAAATATATAAATTCATACATCTAATTTATTATATCAAATTTCACATCAAAAATTAAAATTTATAATTGAAATAAAAATATTATTATTAATAACATTAAATAATAATAAAAATAGATGACAATTTTTTTCATGACGAAAGAAAAAAATAGGATTAAATATTCAATACCGAATACAATGAGAATAAGATTAATATTTAGATTCTGAATGTTTTTTTATAAATAGTTAATTTTATAGACAAAATATAATGTGTCACCAAAAGGATATTGGAACAAAAGAAATTTGGACAAAAGATTCTGAATGTTAAATATAAGAAGAGAAACTGATTTTAAAAAAATGAGTTAAAAAGTTTGCGATAGAGTTTTTTTTTTAGTTTTACTTTGAAATTATATAAAAGTTTTAAATATTAAAATAACAATAAATTGAATTTAATGTTAACAAAAAAGAGGGGAGTTATCACGTGGTGCTTCATTTTGACCGACGGTTGGGTTTGACGATTGCATTTCACGCGCCAACACAACCCACTTTTTTCTCTATCCATTCTAATCCGCTCCACGCCATGGAACAGAATGTATCCCACGAGATTATTATGTGCACCCTACATTTGATCCAATACGCCTATCCCTTGACCATGTATTTGTAAGATCTCTTTGATGTTTTAAATTATCCCATCACATGTAACTATTGGTTATAAAGATTTGAGATGGATTCAAATCCAAACGTGAAAGATATATTCATCTAGACTTTTTCGGTTTTCTGGAAGATGTAGTCGGACCAAAAGTCCGGTAAACTTCCGAATTATAAAAAAAAAAATTTGAGAGTAGTCATACCGGACTTGATGTTATCATAATATATTTATATTTAATATATAAAAAAAACACACGGCGAATCTTCAGATAACCCAAAGTCCAATGTAACCCTTACAAAATGCGTCCATTTTTTTTTTAACAAGGCTTGTCGTTTCCCTTCGCCTTCCCGCATTCCAGACAGAAAATGTTTACTGCATGTTTTATTCGTCTGACAAAATAAACCTTCACCGATTAATGCAAATCTTGACATTATAATTTATAACAGAAAGTTACAACTATCACGTGTATAATGATAGTTCACATATACATTCCAGGCAACCATCACTCGACGAGCTTAAGAGGCCTCATCATCACATTGTCCTCGTGGTCCAATATCTGCAGTGACGAAATGGATTTTCCCTCGTTAGTTTAGAGTCCGTAAAGCCATCACGTCATTATTAATCGAGAGAATATGAAAAACAAGAGGAGGTGAAGAAATGAACAGACGTGGCAGTGGTAGACATAGCCAGGCTCCACGGTGGGATCGAAAGGGTAAGAGGCATTGGAGTGGATGTACGAGAATCTGAGGAGGATAGAGGTGACATGCCCGGGCATAATCTTGAACACGTTTTTCCAACCACGCTCGTGCGCCGCCACCTCTGTCTTTTCCCCACGTGCGTATCTGCTGACGTGGCACTTGATAGCATCATTGCGCTTCGTCATGCACGCCTTGAACGCCTCTGCATCCACCAGCGCCCTCTGCTCCAACACTTTGAAAAGTCCCAGATGAATGTGCAGCGGATGATTATCCTCCGTCAGATTTATCACGTTCCACACCTTCTCCACCGATTCCGCATCGGATTTCAGATTTGGATGTCATTGAATTTATTGTAATAAATACCAAAAAGAAAAAAAAAAAAAGTACCTCAGACGTGCCAGCCTTGGGGGTTTCGGTGGCGGGGGCGTCGTAGGGCAAGCCGTTGACATAGAGATGGGTGGGTTCGTTAGTGTCGCTCACGTACTCGTACATGGTGATGTAACGCGTGAGGGCCGCACTTGACACGTCAGCCAGCGGGTACTCGATCAGCTTCTCCGGAATAGTCCACGTGTCAACCTCTGCTTCCCCCTTTATTATGAACTTCATCACCTTGCTGTTCTCTTCGTTCACCGCATCCCCCGCCGGGTACGGATACGGTGCATCGTTGGCGAGGATTGCCGTCGTGGATGCTGACCTTGCAAAGTCAACCACCACGTCCGCTATCTCCGACGGCGCCAGCAGAAGCCACTTTGTGGCCACTGGTTTTGCAAGGTAAGCAGAGTCCGACCCCACGACCGTGAAATCCAGGCCATTGGATAAGAACAATCTGAAGAACCTAGCGTTGCTGGCGTTAATGATACGGAATCTGTACTTACGCCGTCGAACAGTCAAACGGGGCCAGGCTTTGCCGTTGACTATGATGGCATCGCCGAAGTACTCAGGTTGCCACTGCGGGTGTATGGAGGGGTTGTTTCCGGTGGCGTTCATGTATATGGAACCGTCCGTACGGAAACTACGGTCGAAGACCGCCAAGAGGCGGTCAAACTCGTGACCGGTGGGGAGACGGAGAGGGCCCTCGAGGGCGTGGTGACGGAGAACGTAGGCACCAAACAAGCCGGCGACGAGGTTGACTCTGGTCAACCCTATGGTATGGTCGTGGTACCACATGGTACCAGGCTGTTGCTTGTTCTCGTAGTGAGCCGTCGCTTGGGTCCAAGTGGGCCCCGTTTCTCTGAAACCGGCGGTGAACCAGGCGGCTGAGTTGCCGTCGCTGGGGGGTTCGTGGATGCCACCGTGGAGGTGGACCACCGTCGGCACTCCCCCGTGCTTGGGGATTGCTGGGGAGATGGTGGGGTCCCACGGGAGGATGTGCGATGAAGGGAGGTGATTTTCCCACGTGACGTACGTGTCTACGCCGTAGACGGCTTCGATCGTGGGACCTGGTACCGTCGCCCTGCTCCTCGATGTACCGAATGCGAACACCGGCGTCGGTGGCAAGTCTCTGTGGAATTTCTGTGGTCAAACTTCATCAGTAACCCTTAACTTTTCAATAATTGTAACTTTAGTGTATTGATTCGGAAATTATTGCATATTGCGTATTGGTGGGTGTCTACTTCACTTTTGCATTGAAAAGGAAGAAAACTTTAAGCACCTAAATAGGCCAGTACCCTTTTTGTTTGGCTGTCTTTTAAAAAATATATAAATCCTCCTATGGGATTAATCATTTATGATGGACATAATGTCAAAATAATTATTGCTTGTGTTTTTTTTTCGTAACGGTTGGCCCAGGTGTGAATTATTGGTTGTGTTTTTTAATTATTTTCTGTAAATAAGTAAACAGTAGAAAAAATGGGATTTTCTGGGTTGGAGATCTAGATATCTAAAAAGCGATGTTAGAAAACTTAGATATATTTTTTTTGGGTATAAACTTAGATATATTTGTAAATTCATTTAACAACATGGGGGGTTTACAAAATCGACTAATACGATGCGTTTTGGGAGAAATATTTAAGTCGGGTAAGAGAGAGCACGAGGAAAAACATTGGTCGGAGAATAATTGAAGGGGAAAATCCCAAAATAATATCTGAAATTTTTAATTTTAATAAAATAAAATTTAAACTTTGTTTTTTATCAAATAAAATCTCAATTTTATTTTACAGATAAAAATAAAACTGAATTTTATAATCTTTATAATTTTTAACCCTATTGTTGATGTAACGTTTCGATATCGTGACATGTGGACGATGATGTGTTAAATACGGTCAAAGTATTGACTTGTCACGTAAGATGTCGGAATGATATCAACAATAGGGTTAAAAATGATAAATATTATAAAGTTCAGGTTTATTTTTGACTGAAAAATGAAGTTGAGATTTTATTTGATAAAAAAGAAAGTTTAGGTTTTATTTTGTTATAATTGAAAATTTGAGGTATTATTTTGGAATATTCCATAATTCAAAGGAAGGGGGGAAAAGGCTGATTGGCTGTAAGTAATAACTAACAAGTGACGGAGAGAGTAAGACAAGAGCGAGTGAAGAGATATGCATAGGAGTAAACGAGATTAAGATAAATCGTATTCTCAGCGGAATCTGAGAAGAGTCTTAACATAGCCAAATGAAATTGGGGGAACCAAATCAGAAAACGAACAGGTAGAGATATTTGCATGAAGCAGAAGCTGAGCGATGGATTGAAGTCGAGAGAGAGAGAGAGAGGAAGTACCCATTTCTTGAGGAACATGCCGATGCGAAGAGAGGTGGGCTTGGGAGCACCATCGGCCACACGGAAGCCTGGGAGAGACGGCAGTCTCGGAAGTTCGTCGACAAACATTGGGAGCTTGGCCACGTCCAACAGGTCTTCTCCAGCGGCTGATGATACACTCATCATCATCATGGTCACCGTCACCATCATCATCATCACTCTCCAGCCTTCCATTTCGTATGCCTTTACTCTCTCTTGTTGGATTTTGCAGTCTATGGTTCACAGTTGAAGCCTCAGATTCCTTTTATATTACATTAAGGGTCTCTCTCTCTCTCTCTCTTCGTTCTTCTTATTCCCCCTTTTGAAAAGTAAAGGCCCCGGAAACATCCAAAAATCACCCTTTTTTATTAGGAAAATAAATTTAATTACATGTGGTTTAGTCCAGAATTTACTTCCAGGTTACTTCGGCTAGTACCGAAAAGTATTTTTCGAATGATATGTGTTTCTCGTTAAACCAAAATATCGCGTGTGTGTATATATATATAAATTTAAATCTTATTAGAAAATTATCAAACTAAATGATATATATATATATCCATACTATATATTATATAAAATCAATCAAAGATATTGTGTATATCTCTACGCGTGGATCGAGAACGTCCGAACGAAGAAAAGGGATTCAAACGCGTGGCTAGCATATCCGCTACCTATCTCGATGTCCTTATGCGCGAAACCGTCATTTGTCCTACATTAAAACCCATTATGAATAAAATGACAAACCTCAACAAGTTTTTGTAGGCTCTGAAAAAGTTTGGACGAGTAAACTCTGATCAATAATTTCTATCCATTTAATTTTTTTTAGTAAACTCTCACAATGAATTCTACTAACTAAACACAAACCAGTATAATCATTTACCAAAGGTTAGAAGATCTTTTCAATAGATCTCCTCTCACACAATAGGTTTCCTGTGATTTTATCCTTTCTAATTTGATTCAATTCTTTCTATATTCAAGAAATTTATTTTTTTCATTTTTGAATTGATTCTGATAAAAATAAAAATTGAATGATTTATTGCATGATGTGAAAATCCCGACTATGACCTCGGTTGATTACTGTTTGGGCTTTCAACTAGCGATGTCAAAATGACCGGACCATGCCTGACACAAGGCAGAATATTTACAAGACGGCCCGGTCCGCTCCGAAACATGAGCGGACCTAAAATATTCGGCTCGGAATCCGACTCTATGGGTTTTTTTCCGGTTTGAACCGAGTATTGTACTTGAAATTAAAAAAAATACGAAAAAACTATAATCAAATTAAGATTATTAAAATACAAAAATTTAGTATCTTTCGTGACTAAAAATGGATAAAATGTTATATATTTTGATTTAATATAAATTAAATTTGAATTTTTTAATTTTATATGATAAGAAATTATTTTAAATATTAAAATATTATCTTTTTCAATTGAAATAATTATTTGAAACTAATGATATTGTATTTTTGACTATATTAACTATGAAAATATTACATCTTAAATTATTTAGTATTAAACAAATTTTTAGTTTTTTATAATTCTTTATATTATATACGAAGAATCGTATATAAATACCTGAAATTTTAAAAAATTATCAAATAAATATCTAAAATATAAAATTCCCAAATAAATAGTTGAACTTTTCAAAACGTCCACATAAATACACAACCTTTTAAAAATTTACCAAATAAAACCAAAATCCATTAACGAGCTTGTGGTCCTCCTGGGAAAATTTGGATGAATCCGTCAAGTCGATGTTAAATTTATAAGGGAATCCGTCGATAATTGACCATTAACGAATATTATTTCATTTGGCCAATTTCTTAAAATTTGGGTATTTATGTAGAAGTTTTGAAAGTTCAGATATTTATATAAAAATTTTATAGTACAAGTATTTATTTGGAAATTTTGTAAAAGTAGAGATATTTATATGTCGATTTTCCTATTATATAATATTCTTTATATATATATATATATTTTATCTGTCTATATATATATATATAATTAAATGTGTGTCAATTTAGACTCGAGGCCCTCCTGGCCCAAACCGAAC